ATACATGATCACTGCAATGGACTCAATGACAGATATGATAAGCACTTACTTTCGTGACTCTTGTTTGCCATCGTTTGTCAACAATTGAGTGTTCAATGGATTGGTGTTAATGTATAAAAACATACAACTATTGTGATAATGATTGACTAAAAACTTTGAGCATTTCATAAATTTCATACAAATGATTATAAAAATGCTATTATTATTACAGTTATAGTAATTGTAAAACACTTTACGGTTTGTGGTATCACTTACTCATCAGTCACTCCACTCACCAAATGTCAACACAAATGCCATCGCATTATGACATGCAATCTATTGTTGATTTTACCATTATATTAGTCATACACTCACTATAATCAGTACTGCATCTTATGAATGACTCCACAGTCAACCCACAGTCAATCGCACACTCATTCTACTCGATGCCATTCACTCATTACATATCATTTATCACCATATACTGCCCCCTTGTATCATATGCAACAAATTGTTGCCAACAATTTGTCCATTATGATATTATATGATATTATATGATATTATATTATATGATATTATAATGTGATTGCAGACAATTTACAATACAATAGTATTGTATTGTTACCGCTAAATGTAATGTCTATTTAATCTCATTAAATTAGTTTATTTCATATTTTCAACCAAACCCTAGACTCATCTAAATATTTTTTATTACAAATTAATTATGTACTTTTCTCAAGGTAATTTAGACTCAAGAATTATTAAATACTCAATATATTTTGTAAGTTTTATTTTCATTACACCTTGTTTAATTCTTAAAACAATTATATTTTACTAAATAAATATAATTCTATTAAAAACTTAGTTTATGTTAAAAATTGAAAAATATTAATTTAAATGAAGATAATGTGCATGAAACATTTCAATTCATTAGATTTGTTTTGAATTCATTATGATAATAATATTTAGATTCAATATATTTAAACTTATGATAAATATATAATATTTAAAAATAGAGTTGATTGTAAATTCATTTGAGATCAACCATAGATAATCTATATTAGTGTTACAGTTAGTCTATAAGAATATAAAGAATAAATGTTTAGTATTCTATATCATATGATACTGTGAAATATTGTAAAAAACAATTGCTGATTAATAAATACTGGATTTTAAGTAATAAGTGTATGATTTGAGTGATAGTCATACATATGAATGAGTGGACAATGAATGGCAAGAGTGAGTGAATGGTTACAGAATGCATACAATTCTCTAGAATTGTGTGCAATTCATGCAAAAGTGTTTGAATGAAGTGTTTGGAGATGTGGTGAGCGGTGACTGCAATGACAGCTAAACCCCTATTCATAGCAAACACTTGACTTAACTCTGACTCCATTATATGGTTTGCAAACTGCAGTGGACTTTGAGTTTGAGTTTGATTTGATTGACAATTCGTTTAATTGTTGTTTGGATTGAGATTTAAGTGAAGAATGAGTGAAAAGATTGAGTTGAAGACAGCGCCATATGACCCACGCTTTCCCAACCAAAACCAGACCAGGTTTGACACCTTAAGACATGTTTGTCATTGACTCTTACGGTTGTGTTTGTATATGATATACAGGAACTGTTACCAGAACTACCTGGACTACCACCGGTGCCAAAAGGTGAAGGGTGACAAGTATGAGCCATGTCAGTGGTTCAAGTGGGCCTACACTGAACTCTGTCCCAAAGCATGGGTTTGTATGACGTGACCATTGCTGTGATATGTGTGCACTCATTGCCTGATCATTGGTGTCTTAGACCGAGAAATGGGACGATCAGAGAGACAACGGTATCTTTGCTGGAAGAATATGAGCCATTCATGCAGTGAATACCACTTCCAACACAAGAACCCTTTATTGTACTTTCATTTACTTTGAGTTAATGTTAGAGTAATTAGAGATTGGATTTTAAGTCAAATACAAATACAGTTATAAATTAGTTAAGAAATTAATTACAAATGAATTAATTATCAAAAATTCAATAAACAGTTATTCAAAAGTGAATTATAATGAAGATATTGAAGAGATTGTGGTTTATTGCTGTGTCAGAGGAATGATTTCATTAACCAATTCTTGAAACGAATGGTCTCTGAGAGCGACTGACTCTAAAATATCTTCGTTTGTCGTGAAGAGTATTGTCTGTAATGAAGAGTAGAGTGAATGCAATGTATGAATGAAGTGATGAATTAGTGATAGTCATAGTCATAGTCATACGTCTCCGAAGGCCTCAATGGGTGCGATCAGGTTTCCCGACGCCTTCGCGATCTCGCCCTTGAATATGAGTTTTCTGTCCAAACAAATGCTTAAGAATTTGATTCCGCGGTACGAATATATTCTCGATTTGTTGTAATTCCAGATTCTTATCAATGCTATCGAGACGTTAGACTCGAATTGTATGAATATTTTCACTGGTAATCGACTGTTTATTTTTAATTCCGTGGACCAGATGTGAGAGTCATCATGAGTTCTGTAGACGCCATCAATCAGTGCATTCAAATCGCCATTTATTTGAGGTTCGCTCCAAATCTATGAGATTAACCCATGGATTAGTAGTCATGGCATTGGATGTGATACTACTGGCATTGAATGGCATTATATGACAAAACATGAAACCTTTTTTATCTTGAAGTTAGATCCGTTTAAGTCTATTATTTCGATACCATTGAGTCCAACAAAGTCTTCGTCGCCCCAATTGCTCACTATTTCAAAGACTAATTGCTGTCCAAACGGAAGCTCAGGAATTATAAAATCACTGAAACTGTCATCCATTCCGTACAATAGATTATCACATGATTTGAATGAATTCTCTAAACTTGTTCTCTTCACTTGAGATTCGCTATAATTTTTGAGTTCTTTAGGAATCGAAACAACACTTTTTGCTGTAATGTGTCCATCGATGAGGTATGGATTGTCTTGGGTTTGCAGTGATCCCCGTCTTCTTGTGATGGTGTCATCCGATTCAGAGAAGTCTATCTTCTCATTAGTGGTCGAAAATAAGTCACTATTTGTATCGACAGCAGTGAACGCATCACTGGATCTCCTTTGTTGAGCCAACTCTTGAAACCATTGCGGCCTTTGAGTGACACTACTCTCAGTTAGCGGTCGAGCATTGGTTTCGTTCTTGAATTTAGTGTCATTTACAGAGAAGCTCTCAAACTCTAAAAGCCATCTGTAATTCAATTCAATTATCATAATTAGAATTCAATAAATATAAACAATTGGAGGCAATAGAGAGTCAATACTTCGGCAACTTTTTCATCTTCAGGGGAGACATCGAAAGATTCTCATCTGAATTCGGTTTGTCTTTTGTTTGTCTCAAATTGAGCTCAATTGTGGACAGAGGTGTCAAATAAGACATTATTTTACAAAAATATAAAATATATTCCAAGAATCACTTCCTATAGTGTATAAAATGATAACTTCTTAGTTTTGTTTTGCTTTTACATAACATTTATATCTACGCAACGCTTCCCTTATAATGACTTTTCGTTCAAATCGATATTCTGTGCCTTATTTGTAATGTTTTGGCATTATATGCGGTAATAACACACTGTAACTATATTTTAGTTATTAACATATTTGATAACAGGGAAGTGGTCAACAAACTAACCACAGGTCATAGACCTTCAAATCAATTCTATTTACATGTTTTCAAAACTCAATCAATTACTTTTAAATTATTATTAAATATTAAAATTTTATAATCATTTAAAAGTAAAGGTGCTCTCTCGATTAGTCTGAATGGGTTTTAAAGTCAATTCCGTATTGAAAATAGTTTTTTTTATCGAAATAAATTATTTGACTTAATATGTGTAATACATAATAAATATTATTTAAAACTAATTCTAAATTCTTTAACATTATACTTTAATTCAGTCCAACTCAATTAATTAAATCAGAAAATCACTTTTGAATATAGACTATATTTCTTACTGGTTATTTTTGTGAGTACTATTACTGACATTTTTGAAATAATACTAAAATTTAGTATATAAATTAGTATATCTTAAATTTTTGTTTGGATATATTGTATAAATAGAATTAGTTAATTCTTAAACAATTATTTGAATATAATAATTGTTTGAATTTGGTAAAAATTGTTAATAAATATAACATAAATATTGTATAAAACTTAAGTACAACGTTGAAGAATGAAGAAAAATAAAATTGTTTTTATATTATTTAATATGCAATAAAACAATAATAAACTATAATTACAGTATTAATACAGAATAGTTTTTTATTTGTACAAAATTTGAATTATAAAAGTGACATTAGACTTAAGATATAGTCATATAGATTATAATGTGGACCATTAATACAAGTATCATACAGTATGTTATAAACCACTGTTCCTGAACTTATCAATCTTTAAGCTTGTGTGTGGAACCGGGATAGTTTATTAATTTGACTATTAAATTATAAAATAAAGGCTATTTTATAAAATTCTAGTCAAGAATGAACCTGAGATGACTACTATAATTTGTCTCCACTGATCTGTATAAATTATACAGTATAATTAAAAATAATTTTTACTTAACTAATTTAAGTAAATATGTTTTTTATTTCCCTAATAACCACTATCCCGGTTCCACACATAAGCTTAAAGATTCATAAGTTCAGAAACAGTGTTATAAACAAATTGATCTATCTATTTTACACTTTCACATTTATATCGTATTGACATTTAATATTCTTGTAAAATCGAGTACTCATTGGAAAAACCTCTGATTTAATGTAAAAATAGAAACTTAATTATATTTTGATCAACTCTTGTGGTTTTTTAACATTAAACCGGATTTTAATATCAGTTTATAAAAAGGAGTCATTACTAGACAATGTATGTGTTGCTTTACTATAAGTAAATGACTACAAATGTATATTATAAGCGTTTCAAACTTTTATACGATTTCCTTTGATTGGAAATTCAAAACAAAATAATTAAATAGTTTTCTATGGTTTAAACTTTAAAAGAAATACTGTATAGCACTTGAGTCTCAAATATTGAACATTCATTGATTTTGAATTCATATAAATAGACTTTTTATTCATTCATTTAGTTTCAAAGTTCTCTTCTCTCTAACTTTGATTTGGTTTTAAATTCTGAAACAAATAATGAAAAGATATTTGATATTATTTTTGTCGACACTAATATTCACATTTGGTATTGTTTCTGGAAATGTCGAATCCATTGATATTAAACAGGACTCCGATGTCTCGCAAAACGAAGTGCCAGAAGTATTACAAGAAAACACATTTTTATGACAAATACGACGATTATAATTGTTTTGGATATAAATTTCAGAGAAACGCCAATTCGTTTCGTCAAATCCTAAGCAATCTTCCGGGAATACGTTTGGGAAGAATCGGACAAAATGCTAACCGAGAAAACATCGAGACTTTGAGACAAGTGATTCAGGCCTCCCCTCACTTAGACCTCCAACAATTGTCTGCCTTCACTACCCCTCCTATCATCGAATCCAACTGTTATGTCGAAGTCCAAGTGGTAAGGATCAGACACATAGCGATATGCTTTTCAATGATAATATGTAGATAACTTCTTAATATTTAACTTATTATTTCAACTAATATTTTAATCATTGTTTTATTAATTAAGTGTTACAGTATTTACAAAATGTTGTAATTTGTAAATTCATTTTAGATTCAACGGATGCCTGGAAAGTGTACTAAGTTAGGCGGACGTATCCCCGCCTGTCAAGTATGAATTTATTTATTATAATTATGTTTTATATTAATTAGTTTATTTGTTTTAGGCACAAGATTTTGTCACAATTGATTACAACACTTGTAAATAATATATAATTGTATATAATATTTTAACCTAATATTAGACTAATTTTAAATTTTAACTATAATTTACTCTCAGTATTAAGACATTTTAAGTTATTTTGACATTACTAATTAAATATTCATTTCTAACATTATATAAATGTATTCCAGTTATGTATTTTGTATTAGAATTCATGTTAAAAGATACTGTATCAGTTTTATTAATAAAGAATAAGAATTAAGTTTTAGCTAAAGATTTGGTCAATAAAATTCTTATAATTTTATGTATTATTCTATTCTATAGATCAATGAGATTACTATAAATCCAATTGTTTTATATCCGATACTAAGGATGTTTTATATTACCGTATTTCCATTAATTGTTATATAAAGATAAAAGAAAGGAAATTTGTATGTCTTAACTTATAAAGGACAGAGTTTATTTAATATATAATATATATTTTCTATGTATGCTTTTGCTATTATTAGAGAGATAGAGAAAGAGAGAATAAATTCTTGTGAAAACATGTTTAAAAAAGTTAAACTTGTCTGTCTCATTTTTATTATTGCCATTGGATTTTATGGAAATGCTTTTGGAGGAAAATTGATTGATAGTAGAAATAAATGGTCCAGTTCGGTTTCGTTTGTTCAACAAAATAAACTTATATTCAGAAGTATTTCATCAATTTATTTTGGTCTTGAATTTATGGCTTCATTCAAAGACTACATAGACATCGACGGCCTATTAGGCGTCATAATATGTAGCGATCAGTTAGGGATCACTTTGGATTTGGTCGCGTCATACCAAGAACCAGACACTTGGATTCAAAGTGTCAAAGACACCATTATTGATATTAAACAACAAGCCGATGATCTATTAGATACAGCATTGCCTGTAATTATTTCAAATGACCCAGAATATTTTAGTCATACCAAGAACCAGACACTTGGATTCAAAGTGTCAAAGACACCATTATTGATATTAAACAACAAGCCGATGATCTATTAGATACAGCATTGCCTGTAATTATTTCAAATGACCCAGAATATTTTAAAGGTCTTATAATTAATAAATAAAATTAATGAAATTGTTTTAAAATTAATTATTTATTTATGGGCTTAAGTTGTTGGTGGTATTCTCGATAAGGGAATGTGGTCCCAAACACCCAAATCATTGTATTGCGTGAATAAGTCACAAGAATATGAAGATATTCTTAATTTAGATGTTTAAGGATACTTACTCTTGGATAGTCTACGAACACAAAGTGTTTAAGATTTCCCGACAGCCTAATGTGGCAAAACAACCAGAGAATACTGACGTGAAGTGATAGTTCTGATGGGCAACAGAGTAGTAGTCTTCTATTTAGAAATTGCAGAAAAGGTATCTATTATTATGATTAATAAAGTTATGATCACATGTATATTAATGATATATTCATTTATTTTATTATTCAATTAATGCAGAAAAAATGTGATTTACAAATGAACTATTTTATTTCAAATTCCAAACAAAAAAGTATAAATAACTTAATGGAAATATTCTGTACGAATATGTTTAAAGCAAACCAACTATTTGAGGATAAAAAGTTTCCCACAAAAGATATGGATTTATTTATGGAAAATAGTATGTCTTTGAGTTATTATAAGATTCTATATTATAAATATATCTATCTTTTATTATAAAATGATAATTTTCTTTATTTAAAATAAATAATACAATATAAAATATTATGCAATATAAGTTATAAATTTATTTCATATTTTTTCTCAACATCTATTGAAAGTATCTATTAGAATATATTATAAAAATTAATTCCTATAATAAGAATCTTACAACTTATATATAAGTTATAAGGTATTATTAATAAGTATTATTTGGAGATTCAGTAAATAGATAATAAATTAATTTACTTGTTAGTTATTTTATAAATAAATTGACATTTATACTAAACCTAGGTATTTTTCAAAAGATTGTATCATATTTTAATACCGGTAGTAGGTTCATTATGTTTAATAAGCCTTGAGAATTGTGTTAGCTTTAATTAACAAAATAAAGCAAAAATAAAATATAGTTTAGAAATATG